CGTTGCTGCCATCCTTTGAAATTCACACCTGTGAATTTACCCGATTTCTCTGCTTGTGATACAAGAGTTCGGTTTGGTGCAGCAACAGCCACTGTAACACCAGTGTTTTCCATTTCTGATAAACAAGATTGATACAATATAAGTAAGCAATAAATTATAATTGCAGACTTAAAGGAGTATAAAATCACAAAGATTTTTGTCTCCACCAGAAACACAGATTTAGAAAATTTCCTTAAGATTGTTGTCAATCTGTGTTAAGAAAAACAGAAATTACTGGTTGTAATAAATCATTCAGAAACACGAAGTAACTGAGATTTTTAGAACCAGTAAATAAGATGAACATAAATTTATTTGTAAAAAATAATTTAATCTGTAAAACTTACCAGAATCTGGAATACTCTTTTTTGAAAAATTCAGGAAGAAAATCAAGTCCACTGAATTCACAGTGTCCCCTTAAGAAAATTATTCCCCTCTAGTATCCGAGGTTTGATTTGGAATATAATCTCCCAGGGTAAAATGATCTTAATCAGTAGAGTATAGATACCAAAAACTCTACTGTCAGCGAATCAATCCACAGCAGGAAAGTACACGAAGAAATATATATGTTTTTAAGAAGAAGGAAGATCAGAAAATTCGTTAGGAAATATTCTGAAGACTGAATGGTATTTATAGGCAAGAATAATATATTCTGAAAGGTTGCTACCTTTAAGAATTGACACGACCATTAATGAAAGGTTGCAAACTTTCAAATGGTATTGACTGTTCCTGAAAGTTGCAACCTTTCAGCATAGTCATGGCGGGAAATTTTGAATATAACGGAATTTAAAACGGGTCACTCGCGCGGATCTGAGTAGTCGGGTCGGGTTAACTAAAGAGTTGAAAACATTTCGGTTAAATTCTGGTATCAACTAATTTTTCGATTGAATCCGCGAAGGCAATCGCTCGAATGTTTCCCTAACCCAACTTGGGAACGAACCTGGGGGAACCGTAGCATGGGGAATGTCCGCGTCTCGAAAAGGCCAAAGGTTTTTAGGTATTGATTGTTTGTTTGTACTTTCTAATATTTATAGCCTATATAAAGCTACTGATAGTTTTCTTCCCAAAGGCCACATTATTTTCTTTTCCCTTCCTTGGTTATTATAAAATATTGGTATGAATCTAATTGCTTATTATAAAATGTTCCTCTGTGCATGAATAATGTAATAGACACTTTAGTTTAGCATGTAATCGTTATAAGCACTTGTTGCAATTTGCTCTTTCGCATATGATTATAAAAATAGACTAGATCCATTGTTTCCTTTAATCGATTGATTATTTTGCTTGCAAATTGTTTATTGATTTTTCTTGTATTAACTCTAACTTTAATTAAGTTAATTACATACAATGAGGGGGAGGGTATATGTTGTTTGAGCTTTTGAGGGAGAGTTAAAATTTTAAAGTAAGAAGGGTTCAATTTTTTTTATCCTATCATTATAATCAAACAAATACAAATTGATTCCAAGCAAAAAGAAGTGAAACAATTGAGTTTGATGGGCCACACATGAAATAAAGCTTTTTGTGACTCTTAAAAAAGGAAATTGACTTTTTTTTTTAGAAATTTATTTTGATCACTAATTATAAAAATATCGCGAATCAGATTGTCGTAAGTGGCACCACACTAAAAATATCTAATAGAAGAACCAAACTAATCTGAAATTAATCCAACACAATTTAAGCAAAACCAAATCTATCATATAAAATGAGAAAACAGTTTAATCACTAAAGAATTGAGTCCCCATAAACTCAACCCAAATAGTCTAAAAACATTCAATGCAGAAATACTCCTAAGAGCTGAAAGTAATCATAACCAAAATTCTAACACAATCAAGCTGAGGATGCAACCCCGAAACTAATCATAAAGCTAAAACTAGTGAATGTATCCAAAAAGATGAACAAGAAACCCAAAGAACCCATGACAACTTGAAAGATGTAGTTCATCCTTGAAATCGAAAAGCGTCTTCCAACTGAGGTTTCGGATCAGCCGCTGGAAGATGCCCTGAATACTAAAGGTCTTCAATTTAATATATGTCTTATTCTGCTCTGAATACTTGAATGACGAAAATGCAATTTCATCATTATATTGATATTTTGACAGATTCAATCAGTAAAGAGTTCACCAAGTCTTTAAGTAAGCCTTTGGAGTTTGTGTATCCATCTACCTCTTGATACAACGTGTCTATCACACGTGCAAAATTTAAAGCTCGTTCAAGGACAAACATTGGTACTTCAGTTGGACGGAAGAATTCTTTGTTTATGTCCTTCCATACGTTGGTGACCTCTTTCTTGAATTTGGCGTATGCCTCTTGCTTTGAAGCTCCATATTCTTTCATGTAACATTCAATAATTGAAGCTACATGTCCTCTTTTTTGTTCATCCTACACGAAATCAATAGATTTCAATAAATAATTATACATTTTAAAAAAACATAAAGATTTTCTAATACCGGAGAATAGTTAGTTTGGGCCTCACGCAAAGTGAAACATAAGGCTCTCAATCATTAAGTGTATTTATAATACTTACTTCATGTCCAACAATATCGTCCATTGCTCTACTAATCAATGAAGCAGCTCGAACTATCAAAGGCTCATTCTTTAACCATTCAAAAGTGTCTTTGGATATAAATTCCTCCACACCCACCAAGCAATTTGTTGCTCCCATCATATAGCCAGCGGTTACGAGTGAAATCTCCATGTGCTCCTCATATTTTGGAATATAGTTAGCATCATTCAACCATTGGGCTTCCTTAAAATAGGCTCTCACAATCTTTTTTATCTAAAAACAATAACAAGTAATTTTAGCTTAGAGAATTTAAATATATATATATATATATTCTTGTGGGTTAGGTAAACAACAGTATTACCTCATGTTTTCCATAGTATACACGGTCCAGTTTACCTTCATTGGACAACACTTGTTCCATTTCACTGTAAATGTCTAGAAGAGCTTGATATAGGGGCCTCATATATGGCGATATTGAATCGATTGCACTAGCATCCCATCTAATATATCAAAAATCACAGGCTAAATTAATGAACTTTTATACCTTGTCATAATAACTAGAGGAAAACATTCAATGTCAAAAGGTTATTTTACTTGTGAAATTTTGATGTTAGTTTTACCTCTGGATTGCATCAGTGAAAGCCACAAGTTCGTCATAGGTTGCGTAAGCATCAAAAGTGTCATCAATAACTGAGGTTATCTTGAGTACTTTTGTCATCATTTTTCTAGCACGACTATACTTTGGCTCAAAATACACTCCCAATATCCAAAAGTAACACTCAACCAGTCTGTCCCTTGCATATGGAATTTTATTAGCAAAATCCAAATCTTTCCACCACCTACGTACATACATCACAAGAGCAACATAACGGTTTAAATTCATATCATTAAAGAAGATACATAGACCAAATAATATTGTACGTACCTTGTAAGCTCATTAAGCTCTCTTTGGTGCAACTTTTGCAGCACATTAAAATCCAATTTAGCAAATTTCAAAAGCACATGGTTGTGTGCAACATTGTTTTCGTAAATTGATATGTATTTCCTTGCTCCCACCCTTGGTAAAGTCTTGCGAATAGGCTGAGTTAATGCTTCACTAACTTCAACCTTAAGAGAGTTATTATTATTGCTCAAGTTGGAGACAATAA